AGAATCTATCGGTGACTCATCATGTGGTAAACCACATGGTCACCGGCAGACCACCAGTCACGGCACGACCTCGCCTAACGGCACCAAACGAATTAGCTTTCTCTAAACGTGGGTTTGACAATTTACTAGCTTCCGGTATTATTCGTCCTTTTCACAGTCCCTGGGCCTCAACACTCCATATGGTTCGCAAAAAGGATAGGGTAAGTTGGCGACCATGTGGCGACTACTGATCATTAAACGTAGTAACACCTTTCAATAGCCATCCCATCCCCCACATGCACGACATCATGGCATCTCTTAAGGGCATGACTATCTATTCTAAGACTGATCTGGTACGATTATATCATGAGATCCCAGTCGCTCTTGAGGATATTGAGAAAACTGCTGTCACGATTACTTACTTACTTACTTACGCCTGTTACCCCCAATGGAGCATAGGCCGCCCACAGGTTGTCCTGGGCTTACCTCTCCAGTTCTGTCCAATGTTTGTTCATTCCTCTCATATCTTTCTCTATTTCTCGGCGTAATGTTTTCCTTGGTCTTCCTTTTTTCCTTTTGCCTTGAGGGTTCCATGTGAGGGCCTGTCTCGTGACGCAGTTAGGTGCTTTTCGTAGTGTGTATCCTATCCACTTCCACCGCTTCTTCCTGATTTCCTCCTCCACTGGAATCTGGTTTGTTCTCTCTCACAGTAAGTTGTTGCCGATAGTGTCTGGCCAACGAATCCGAAGTATTTTGCGTAGACAACTGTTAATAAATACTTGTATCTTGTAGATGATGGCTTTGGTAGTTATCCAAGTTTCCGCTCCATACAGTAGAACTGTCTTGACATTTGTATTGAAAATCCTGATCTTGGTTTTGGTTGAAAGTTGTTTGGAGTTGCAGATATTTTTCAATTGTAGAAATGCAGCCCTTGCTTTGCCAATCCAACGCCTTTCGAATAATGGAATAGTAGTTAACCCAGACATGTATGAACTGGGTAAGGCAGAAATAAGCTTCCTGGGTCACATCATTAAGCATGAGGGTATTCTACTTTGTGAAGATAAAGTACGTACAATCCTCGGTTTGGTTAACTTGTGGTGATGTTTCATTCCTTACGCGTCAGAGCAGTTACGACCACTAACCGACTAACTTCGCGGTAATCCACGCACACTAGAACTGAACGATGTGGAGCGTACTGCATTTTCTGAGAATAAAAAAGCTTTAGCTCAAGCCAAGCTCCTCGCCCATCCTGATTCATCAGCCACGCTAAGCTTAGCGATTGACGCATCAGATTTCGCTATAGAAGCCGTTATGCAACAAAACATCTCTGGGAGCTGGCAACCTCTCGAATTTTTCTCACGACGTCTTACTCCCACTGAAACGAGATATAGCGCTTTTGGTTTCGGGCTGCTAGCAGCCTACTGTGCCACCAAACTGTGGCATCAAACATTTCCAGCACTCAGTGGAGGGTCGTAATTTTATCCTTTTCACCGATCATCAGCTTCTAACTATGCTTTGCATACCAAGTTTTACCGCTACTCACCACGAGAGTCGAGACATTTGAATTATATATCTCAGTTCACGACATACCTTCGTCATATTAAAGGCGAGTCGAACAATTTTACCGATGCTCTCTCACGTATTCAAATAAATGCAGTTACCTTACCAGTGCTCGACCTTCCTGCTATGGCCGCTGCCCAAGTAACTAATCCGTCGTGTACGGAAGCTAGCTACCACCTCAGGTACTATCCTGTGTGACAATTCTACTGGTTTATCCCGACCCATCGTACCTTCTGCTCATCGTCATCTCGTCTTCGATGCCCTTCGTAGTTTGTCTCATCCAGGTATCGCCGCCACCTTACGTCTCATCGCTGCGCGATACGTCTGGCCTTCCACGAATAAAGACATCCGTGTATGGGTAAAGCAATGCTTACAATGTCAACTATCAAAAGTGCACGGGCACCTAGCCCCCACCATCGGCACATTTGCTACGCCTGATGCTCGCTTCGATCATGTTCATATAGGCACTGTTGGACCATTGCCACCATCTCATGAATATGATCACATACTCACGTGCATCAATCGTTTCACAAGATCACTCGAAGCAATTCCCATCACTTCCATTACGGCGGAAACAGTCTCTCACCGCTTCGTAGAATGATGGATAGCGCATTGCGGTTGTCCCTCGACTGTCACGACTGACCGAGGACAACAATTCGAGTCCGAACTATTCTCTTCGGTAGTCCGGCTGCTGGATACGGAGTGCATACACACTACCGCCTACCACCCAGATTCAAATGGTTTAGTTGAAAGGTTTTATCGACAACTCAAAAACACTCTTCGAGCACACGAAAACAATAATTGGTACGAGACCTTATCGCTCGTCCTCCTTAGTATCATAACGAGCTTACAGGCAGATATTCAATGTTCCGCCTCTGAATTGGTATACGGCACGACATTCCGTCTGTCTGGGGAATTTTTCACACCACAGAGCAGTGATAACTTCAATAAATCAGACTACATCCAACGATTGTCTAAATTTATGCGAGCACTGCCTCCGGTGTCAACTCGAGTACAGCATCGACAGGTCGCTCACCCTCGAGAGTTATCTAAATGCTTGCATGTTTTCATTCTAGTCGATGCAGTACGCAAACCTTTGCAACAGCCTTACGAAGGACCTTTTCACGTGATTACTCGTCCTGAAAAGATCAGATCAGCAGATCAGCAGAGCACGCCGCCCTTGACTTCAGATGAGATCGCAGGCTCACGAGGTATGTGCTATACTACCGTCTCGCGCTCCGGTCGCCGCGTAGGCCCACCTGTACGTTTTCTCGAATAACCACCCACGCAACAACGGAAACGTGATAGTACCCTGTCCTTGTAAAATATGTATGCTACACCTTTCCATTTTTCTTTCATTTTGTATCCTGGGCCCATGTCCATGACCATCGCCCTGTTGGTAAAGTCGACCTCAGTCGATTTCGGTGAAAGCTAGCCTGATCACCCACGCTCTTGTCGATGCACTCAGTCAATGTTTCGGTTTCGAATGTTCTGGCATACGAATGGTTTCGAACTAGTCGTTTCTGGCTCCTTCGCTCAATTTAGTTCTGTCCTACTTCTACAGATTTTTCTGGTACGAACCTCTACGAACACAGTCTTCAGACTCTGGATAAGAGCCATGCTGGTGTGGCATACCAACTCGAGCACTAAACTTGGCACGTTACTATTGGCACATTTGAACGTAAAAGAATCTCGTTGATAAATCAAGCTTCATTGGTAGCTTCCTGTCTGTCAATCCTTCCGCCCTACAAACGCCCGTTAACTGACCAGCGCCCCCTTCACCTCACGAAACTGCAACGTATCGAAAGTGTAAGCCGCTTCATCGGGGGTGCCAATGTAGTGGTTTAATTTTACGAAGAAAACACAACTGCTGAAATATAAACATTTATTATTATACTTAATTCTGACTATAATTATTATATTGTACATCTCTTGTATATCTGTACCAAAGACTATCTCTCGCATGCCAAGCTTGTTATTCCGATTCTCTTCTTCGCACGTCTCGTGGGTGGACGTTAGCTGTTTTTACGCCCTCTAGCCTCGGTATTATTTCGATATTACGAGGCCAGTATCAAATATAATTCTTCCTCTGGAATCTACTTCTTATTTGATTCTCAGAGTTCGTAGAGTAACGTTTGTTATCTCTTGAAGAAGTATATCGTACTAATTGCTATACATGCATCAGCCACAGCCGGTCCAAGAGGGTGATAATAATCCGTATGTGATTACGTGTTTATCAATTATCTTCTCTATGCTATTCACTAAGGAGGCTGAGGTCACTTCGTCTGGAGAAGCAATACAAGGTGAACTAAGCCTCATTGAGAAAACATGAACAGTGACCCCGGTTCGCTTTCTTTGGGGCTCAATCTTTCGAAGAATAATTCCATTGTTGTGGTTGTTATGTTTGAGCAAGATTCTTACGGCGGGACTATTCAGTGAGCCCAATATATTATACGCTGCTATCAGTCCACCTCCGACACTTTCGTAACCGAGATAGAATAATCTCATGTGCTGGAGTCTATCTTCCTAGGTTTTATTCTACAACCCTCTCACCCATTTCAATGCTTGTCTCTGAACTCAATCCAAGAGATCTATGACACATTTAGGTGGATGTGCAGCATGGACCTGAAGGTGTTGGCTTGCATGTGTAATAAACAATGAGAAGCGTAATTCTACGGTGATTACTCATAAATTGTATGAGGTTGTCTGACAATGGCGTATAACATATTAGGCTCGCCAAATAGTCCCACTATGATAATCTTGCTCAAACATCACTACCATTGCACTGGAGGTAATCCTCGGAATATTGGGCCTAAAAGAGCCAACATCCAGTTTCGTACACTATTCTAATTGAGAGTCGTTGCAACTTTGTAATGCTCTTCCAGCCAAGGTGACCTAATCCCCCTTAGAGAATAGACTCAGCAAGAGACTTGATAAACATGTATTCACTAACTGATTATTACCAGCCTCGTGTACCAGCTGTGTCAGATATATATCTTAAGACCTGCCAGTTGTAACTGTTGCCACTTTCTAAGGTCACTGACGTAATATATATCGCTTATTATCTCTGTTTCCTCTACCTTGCTTACACTTCAGTCCTTGCACTATCTTCAGTATCAATTAATAAACTAAATTAACTATTTATTTATTTAGTTCAGAAATCTTGTTCTAATTCTCATGAGATTTACCTCCCTATCATTCACCACATTGCTATTAACTAATCTACGGCCCGATAAGGTGATAGCTACTGGTATACAGAAACCCTACTATACTGAAATAAACGTTCATTAAAATCACATGACATACAAATTCACAAACAACTGTCAACCGACTAGAATTAGTGCAGTCAAGTGTCTCGACCGCATCCATTGAACACTACCAAACGCTTGGAATCGCACCTAAATAATAGGATTGGAACGCAAAGAAATCAATCGGTTTATACTAGCTCGTCAAAAAGAAATTGGATATTGGAGAAAGCGGTTGGTTTGAACCCAAGGTTATTGCTTAGGTAATCTTAGGAATTCGACCGACCTGTTTAAGGTTTGCAGCTTTTTGAAAACTTATAACATGTAAGTTAAAAGCTTCCATCTTTCCTGCAACTTTTGAGATTGGTACTCGATGTCATTGATACAACTTGCGTATGTGAAAACATATGAGCCTTTGTTGTCCAGGAACATGTTTTAATAAAACGTCTTAAGCAGAACATTCGAATCTCTGAGATATCTACACAGTACAATCTTAGCATTGCTCCTGGTAAATGGAGCCTGTCTAGAGGCTTTTCTTAGTGAATGAAAGTAACGGTAGTCGTATTATTTATTGTGAAACGTGGCATTTGTAAGTGGAAGAAGTACGTTGGCTTTAAGTTTTTGAGCATGGTTGGTTTTAAAGAAATACTTGTGTTCTGGGAAACTGCAGAGTTATTTCTTGTATAAGGATCGAGCTATTAGGTGGAATTAATGACCAGATTATTGAAGCTACAAAACTTAGTTGATTGACATGGTTGAAATCTATGTTACATATTATTCATGAATACCTACCCTTATGTTCGTTGTTATTTAGTAATGAAGTTGGGTTCTTAAAAATACGGGGATGAGCAATTAAAGACAGTCAATGAAGTGATTGACTGCTTGTCTACTCCTCGTTCAGTCAATAATCTTTGCCAGTATTTGTAGCCGCCGGATAACGTTGTGCGGATACATCTTCCCTATATCCATCTGGATATTTTAAGTCAGTCATATTCCCAATCTTAATCATTGAGATGTATTCTTGACCAGACTTCAATTACCTATGATCATGTTGACTTCTTCTCACTGACGTGGTAACTTCAACAGGTAAATTTCATGTTAATAATGACTGACTGAATTCGATCGAAGACTTCATTTCTAAATAAAACTTTTACGTTTTGAACCTTTGTGTTTGTTATGATTTTAAAACGATTCTTACAGGTCAAACCTCTCTTTGAATCACAACTAATCAAAAACTGCTTTCAGTTCAATCGATTTCTAAGGCTTTTTTTATTTGTTTTCACCACTTTCCACCAAAATCAAATGTCAGTCATTCAAGTGGATTATTAATTCTTGGTTCTTTTGCTGATATTCTTGTTAAACGTTTTGTACAATAATGTGACATACCATGAGCTAGTTGTTGATATAAAAACTAGTTGTAATTCCAGCCTGTCTCAATTTTTAAAACTTGTCTTTGAATCAAAATTATATCATTTACTACTCATAGTATCACTAAATCTATTTTATAATATTTCTTTTCAGTCATGTCGAAATTTCAATTACTCTTCTGCGTGATCTGTATATTCACTTTCATATGTGTGATAGAAAGTTCTTGGAATGTAAGTTAATACTTCAAAAAATATTTATAATGTGCATTTAGGTTACTATCAATCATAATCCAAATTGTAATCTTTCAAAAGAATGTGATAAATATGATGTGATATACATTAATGGTCGTAATTTAACATCTTCAGTACACGTGTTCATAACAGCATCTGAACGATTTTCTTTTCCATCAGTATTGATTGTTCACAGTTCATCAGCTGAAGTTGATCCTGTCATAGATTGGGATAAGTTGAATGCATCTTCTGGAAAACGATTAAGTTTGAAAAATGTTACCCAGTCATACGCTCTTGTATTTTATAAGGTTAGTTCTTCATATGTTGCTGACTATTAGTAGGTTTTGGTAGTAAGCGTTCTTTTTTCATTTCATTAGGAACATTTTTGTTAATTGTTACTAAATATCCTAAAATCAATTAGTTAGTTTTGTTTTGTTTTTTATAAAAACAAGCCATCCACTTAACTGAAAAATTTATTTTCCGACTGTATGTTATGTAGATGCTTCAAGTTTTATCCACACAAAACGGGATCAGTAAAATGCTTTCATTTAACGCATATTGTTTGGCAAAAATCGTATATAGTTTTTAACCGGGTGAAAAACCATAGTTTTGAAAATCAATACTTATGAATTACTTATTTAAAACAAAATGTAACTCAATAGAATCTGTTTGCAATATTTTGCATTTTCTCGTTTAGAATTCCCTATTATATTATTTTTGTCATACTAACATAATAATTGGTACAGAGAACCACTTAAATATTTATGCTCTTTACAAATCAATGATTATGTGTTTGGGCTGTAATGCTGGCCAGATTTACAAGCCAAATCAAGTGGTTTACTTAGGATTCCATTCGCTAAACCTTTAATCCAAATGTCTAGTCCACCAGGTAGTGAGTGGAGTTATGTTAGGAGGAGATGCAATCGCGTGGTTTCGCGGTCATCAACATTAGGTTCATATGCCAGTTGTTCTCTGAGGATCCTGTAGAGCCTTTGTGTACCCTTGGTTTGGAGCTAGAGTTTTCTAACTCCCTCACGTGAATCCTGTGTATTTGACAACACCGAACATTCACTTTTAGTCCCCGCAATTTTACAAACAGCAACTTACCACGAAACATCATTAATTGGGACTTCTTTGGCAGTGGCCATGCTTGCATAACCATGTGACGGCATTTGGAGAGAAAGTGATGACTTTTCCTACTATCGGGTTGTACCAGAACATTTTTGTCCAATCATATAATGCCGAATTTCGACAATCCATGATGTTTGATCAAAGTAATCACGCTTTCTATGCGTTCATTCAACCAGCTATATTAAAGAAACAGGTTGATTAATGATTCATAAGCTTTGGCTAACGAACTGAATAATTAGGTGCATATACATCTGTCTTAAGTACAGTAAAGTTAACTTCTTCTTCCCATAACATGGCCTAGTTATACCTTCTCTCCTTTTGTTTAACCTTGAGGGGGTAATTTTAGCACTTACTTACTTACGCCTGTTACCCCCAATGGAGCATAGGCCGCCCACCAGTTTTCTCCAACCAACTCTATCCTGGGCTACTCTTTCTAGTTCTTTCCAGTTTTTGGTCATTCTTCTCATATCTTTCTCTATTTCTCGGCGTATAATGTGTTCCTTGGCGTTCCTCTTTCCCTTTTGCCTTGAGGGTTCCATGTGAGGGCTTGTCTCGTGATGCATTTGGGTGCTTTTCGTAGTGTGTGTCCTATCCACCAACTCCACCGCTTCTTCTTGATTTCCTCCTCCACTGGAATCTGGTTTGTTCTCTCCCAAAGTAAGTTGTTGATGATAGTGTCTGGCCAACGAATCCGAAGTATTTTGCGTAGACAGCTGTTAATAAATACTTGTATCTTCTGGATGATACCTTTCGTAGTTCTCCTAGTTTCCGCTCCATAAAGTAGAACTGTCTTGACATTTGTATTGAAAATCCTGATTTTGGTTTTGGTTGAAAGTGCCAGATATTTTTCAACTGTAGAAATGCAGCTCTTGCTTTGCCGATCTGCGCCCTCACATCTGCATCGGATCCACCTTGGTTGTCGATGATGCTGCCCAGATATGTAAAGGTGTTAACGTCCCTCGAAGAATCTCCATCAAGAGTGATTTGGTTGACGCATGTTGTGCTTTATCGTAGAATCTTACTTTTCCCTTTATGGTATGTTGAGACCTACTGCAGCTGAGGCTGCTGCTACATTGGTTGTCTTCTCTTGCATTTGTTGTTGCGTGTGAGGTAGAAGAGAGCTCATCTACGAAGTCCAGATCGTCCAGCTGCGTCCTAGCTGTCTACTGAATACCGTGCTTCCCTCCAGATGTTGACGTCTTCATAATCCAGTCGATCACCAAGAGAAAGAGAAAGGGTGAAAGTAAGCAACCTTGCCTGACACCGGTCTTCATCTTAAACGAGTTTGTCAGCTGACCTCCGTGCATGATTTCGCAGTTGAATCCATCATAAGAATTCCGTATGATGTTAACTATCTTCTCAGGCACGTCGTAGTGTCAAAGAAGCTTCCATAGTGTTTTCCTGTCCATGCCAGTAGAACCTTCGGCACTACTGCCGGTCCCAAGCCCGGATAAAGGAGGAGGGATTGGACGTGGGGTTGGCGCCCTCATCCCAACTATTAACTAACTTGCCAAAAAAAACGCTAACCAGAGGAAATAAATCAAATATTAGTAGAGACACATGATTTACCTGAACTCATCCTCTCACGAATTAAGTCATTGTTATCAGTAAATAAAAATGTAGACTAATAAATCAAACTTATTTTACACATCTCGTAATCATGTATGTACTTGACGTTAAGCGTTTATAGAAGACCTAATGATATACTACTCATTGGCTACTAAAAAAAAACTGAACTAGATCAGTTAGATAGGATTCAATTATTAAAGTCTATTGGTTTTTTTTGGAAGTCAAATACTATCGTGGTGTTAGCTACTTATAAGTAGTATATGACGCGAGTGTCAACGTAATATGTCTGGTGGCAGCAGAAGATGTGGGGGAAGATCAAGAGCAAGGAAGAAGAGTGGGAACACAATAGAGTTTGTGTATGAAACGCATGAATAGTGTGACAATGGATTGTTGATGTTTTGCAACAGGAACAACAGTCTTCCAGTTCGATATGATGATGAACTGATATTTTGCAAATTAAAACGATTTACGATATGGTTTTCCGATTTTAATGAGTAACTCTGTAATATTTGTTAAATGCATTTCGGTTGCCCCACCTTTGATTACGTTCACTACACTATCACTATCAAACAGCTATTATTATTGCATACTAGGTAGGTTTGTACAATGAAATATTATCATAGTGTAGTGAAGGAGAACACAGGTGAGGGCAACCGAATTGTATTTAACGAAAATTACAGAGTTACTCAGTAAAATAGGAAAACCATATCGCGTAAATCGTTCATTTGCAAAACATCAGTTCATCCTTTGGAACTGGACTGTTCCTGTTGCAAAACATCAACAATCCATTGTCACACTATTCATGCGTTTCATACACAAACTCTATTGTGTTCCCACTCTTCTTCCTTGCTCTTGATCTTCCCCCATCTTCTGCTGCCACCAGACATATTACGTTGACACTGACGTCATATACTACTTATAAGTAGCTCACACCACAATAGTACCATAATAAGCTTAATAAGATTATAAAAATTATTCTGAACATGTTATACAAAAGAGACCTGTGTTGTTTTATTCAAAGATATAATATCTTATATATATATATATATATATATATATATATATATATATATATATATTCGTATATATATTATTTTCTATTATTATACTCTCACATTGACTAGATGGTTGAATATAATGATTTATCCGATAATGTGAACATGTCTAATTATCCAAAAAATTCTGATCAAATCCGCAGTCATTATTTTAATGAATTTCAATGGAAACGTAATCCAATCAATGATACTAGTTCATTAACATTTGAAAATAATTTATTTGAAATAACCTACAATGGAACTAAGCCAAACATGACGTCATCATATGAACAAGTTATTATTAAGGTAAGTTACGTATATATATATTTGGCATAGGAGAGATATCAGTCTACTAACTAAAGGACGAGTGTATTGGGCAGCAGATCGTTCTGTCCTACTCTATGGGTTTGAAATGTAGCCAGTTAGTGTAGAGGATATTTGTAGGTTATTAGTATTCGATCATAGGTGTCTTCAAAGCATTCCTGGTAAATCTTAGGGCCACTGAAGCTGCTACCTTGACGTGGTGCTTGTCGGGCTTGCCTATTGTCATGACTCAATCGAGTTATATTGGTTGGAACATATGTTCCTGTAGGTTCTACCATGCCAGGCAGGTCGATTGGAGAACGATGAGACTAAAAGCAGCAACTTAAGGTCTGAGGGCGAAATCGTACTGCTGACTGTGATAGAGGGGTGTGACAGCAGTAAAGTGTTTCCCTCGGACAACCAGCATGTGCAGCGATGTTGCTTTTTCACAAGGAAGGAAGGGTTGGAAAAAGTCGACCCCAAAAATGTCACACTTCACCCTACCTCACGGATTTCCGTCCCTGGCGGTAAGGTTGCCCACTAAGGGCTTTAAAAAGAGCGGAGCTAACACTCCAAAAATCCTTTGATAAAAAGGCCGTGCGTGACCGGCATGAAGCAGTTGTCCCTTGGGCTGTGTGATCACGCTATCAGGTCTCTAAGACCAACACTAATCTATTTTCCTTTTCAGGTTCCTCAAGAAACAACCTTCCATGGTGTGGGCAGCCGGGAAGTGATAACTGCCCTCATACCCGTATCACCACACAAGACCAAATTGGTCACAAACAAATACTTTCTGCACTCCCTAACATATCTCTTATCTCCACGACCAATTTTACTCACACTCCTTTATCACGCTGCACCACTAATGGTTGTGACATGTGTTACGTATGCCTAACCATCGATTGCATCGACGAGTGATGTTTTGTGGGGCAGGAATAGGTTCGGAGAAAACCAAACTAAAACATGGCACAAATGCATCAAGTCACTGACAAATGGATTGAGTCATGTTGATAGGTGTCAACTACGTGGTTGGGATTCGCGAGACGAAAGTCACCGATGGTTAGAGACCTTAAACGGAATGGTTCAAAATCGTGTGCAGCGGAGCAGATGCATCCATTCTTTGTGTTCTCTCTAATTCTAATCTTCTGAATTCCTCATCATCTTTATCTTTTTCTAAAGTTATGTCACTGAATTCTACTTCTTGAATAATATCTTCGATCCCAAAACTTCTCCATTACTGCTAATACTTCTACTATCGATACTACTATTGAATTTGAACTGACAGTTGCATCTGTCTGATGATAAGGTATGTCAACCTGAATGAGTGTACTCATGTACGAAGTTGTACGTTGTACCTGACTGACTAACTGACTGATCACTACTAATACTTCTACTACCTCTACTTCTATGTAATTTGAATTGAAAATTCGATCTCTGTGTTCTAATATGCTATGGTGACTTGAACTGTTTGTTGTACGACGTTCTACATTGTAGCTGACTGACTCTATGCTTTACCAGAGTTTTTGAGGATTAACTTATCATAACTGGAATCAATACAAGGCATGAAAAAATCAACAAGATCTGTTCATTTCAATCACAAAGTATAAATCATTCAGCCATAAGCAACGTAAAACATATCTATTGTGTATATCGGTTGAAGATTGTTACACTCCATCTCTTGACACACAATCAGATGAAATCATAAAAAATCGTATCATTCATTGAATAAATGAAAGTCATGCGAACTTAATAGTCATGATATTAAAAATGTTACGCCTGCACGTAAACACGTCAACTTGATATACTTGAACTATTACGAATTTACCTAGTTGGAAAACGAGAGCGAGGATCCGGTGACACGATATGCCACTCAAATCCGATTATCCTAACCCCCATATTGAGTAAAAAATAAGAAGACTTGAATGTGGAGTAGAACGTGTATTCTACAAGCATCCAGAAAGTACGAGGTCCGAATCCAGAAGAGAATTAGAATCCCGGACTAGGGATCCGGGACCGGGTCCTGGTCGTGGTCATAAAATGTTACACATAATGCGTATTTATACATTTTGGTCGAATAGGAAACAGCATCTGTGACATTGACAGTTAAGACGACCAATAAGAAGCAACATTTGAGGTATGTGACATTGACAGTTAAGACGACCAATAAGAAGCAACATTGATATCTAGGACGACCAATAAAATTGACCAATAGGAATGAACCAATAGGGAATTGAACCAATAATAATTCTCTTAGGATATTATTTGATGGATAAATATCCCTAACAAAAAAAATAAAAACATTTATGTTTTTTCAATTTTTGTTCAAAAATTTCAGTTTCGTATCAGTAATACAACTCAACATGATCAATCAATGCCACATTTATTATTTACACCTGGTCGAATTGTACAATTCGATGTGTTATTCAATAATTTAACTAGTCATTTTAATCAAAGTCGTTTTGGTTTACAATTATTACTGATGTCCAATTTAACATTGCAACCGAATGAAGAATTTCGTCGAGAAATTCTTTTCAATATTGATGATGAATTAACACCGGGAAATTTTGAGGTAATGTGTTCTTTTTTTTGTTTCATTTGGGGAAAAATATATACTACTTAAATTCGAGACTGAATCCACTTTAACTATACTCTATGTTACATGAGACTGAAAAATACAACTCATTAGTTGTTATAATTCTCTCTCTCTCTCTCTCTGTTTATTACAATCCAGCTATTTCCTTAATGCCAACCTGCGTCACTTATGGCGTAGGCGTGATATCCGTTCTCTAATCAAAGGACGAGTGTACTGTGCAGCAGTTCGCTCCGTTCTCCTATATGGCTGTGAAACATGGCCAGTCAAAGTAGAAGATGTTCGTAGGTTACTGGTTTTCGATCATCGGTGTCTTCGAAGCATTGCTCGTATACCGTGGGACAGCCGAGTAAGCAATGCTGTCGTTAGGAAACGAGTACTAGGCAAGGATGGCAGATCAATCGATGAAGTAATGAAACTTCATCAGTTGAGGTGGTTGGGACATATCTTGCGTATGCCGAACCACCGACTGCCTCGACGAACTTTGTTTTGAAGTGTAGGAATAGGTTAGAAGAAAGTTAGGGGCGGCCAAACCAAAACATGGCAGAAATCCATGAAGTCATTGACTAGTGGACTGAGCCATGTCGGTAATTGTCGACTACCTGGTTGGGGTCCGCGAGATGATAATAATAATTGATGGTTAGAGACCTTGAATGACATGGCTCAAAATCGTTCGCAATGGCGCCGGTGCATTTATTCTTTGAGCTCTCTCAAATCCTAATATTCTGGATTCTTCAACACCTCTAGTTTTGACTTTCTAAATTTATCTCACTGAATCATACTTCTTGAATAATATCTTCTAATCATAACCTCTTCGATTACTGCTAATACCTTTACTACCTCTTCTACTATTGGATTTGAATTGACAATTACGTCTCTGTGCTGATGTGGTATGGCAACATGAACTGATGTACTTACGTACGAAGTTCTACGTTGCATCTGACTGACTGACTCACGGACACCTACTTAATCGAGACCTTTCTCCCAAAATCAGAACACGGTTGAACAGGAAATAGAGATTATATACCAATAGAAAGGTTAGATGGAAGACAGACTGCCAAAGGTAAAAAATTGTTGGTTTATTTATATTTTTTTCATATGAGAAAATTCTAGAATATTCCCTCAGTATTGACTAGCACTGATTGGATACGAAAGAGCCAATCATCGTGCAACAACTCAATTATGCTTTAATCCACTCTAAATGTAATTCTGAACGTGTTACTAATGAACAGTAAAGTTCAGCTGTGATATATGTATGAGGCGGTTAGTTGCCTACCAGCGACATTTGGGAAAAGGTTGCACAATATTGCGAAATGTAAGCTATTAGATTGAGGTACATTTTTATGAATGTTAAACTGTCATCAAGAGATCTGATCAAGGTCATAAATTTCCACTCCAGATGAGTCTATTGTTAACATAGACAGACAGACAGATACAATGCAGAACTTTGTACGTAAGTACATCAGTTCAGGTTGCCATGCCCCATCAGCACATAGACGCAACTGTCAGTTCAAATTTCTAGAGTGATAACAATAGTAGAAGTATTAGCATTAGTGGAGAAGATTAAGGAGTGAAGATATAATTCAAGAAGTATAATTCAGTAAGATAAATTATGAAGGAGAAAGGTAGAGATTATGAGGAATTCAGAAGCTTAGAATTTCACAGAACACAATGAGTGGATGCACCTGCGCCATTGCAAACGATTCTGAGCCATGTCGTTCAAGGTTTCTAACCATTGGTGACTATCATACTAGGACAATATATCTGTGAATCGCTTCTTAGTTTTTATTAATCTTCATTTAAATAGAGTCGATCCATCATACTACCACCCCTAACTGTCAGGTTTCTCATATGGTCGAAAAATGAAAATTTCGGAAATGCGTAAAAAATCACGTTACCCAACATGAGACAAAGGGAAAAATAGAAGTGTTTGGGCCTATTTACATCAAGCTGGGCTGCCTCTTCTACAATCCTACGCGATATATGTGTATGCCATATGCTATGCTGTACTGCTATCTAGAGCTGAAGGTCTCCTATGATATCAGAGGTTCGCTGTGATGAACATTGTGGATAGGTTTGACAAGTATTGATAGCAATCCATAGCAGGGCGATCGATTTCATTGATACTAGTGGTGGTTGTTTTGCAACATTCTTCAGGACCATTGTCATTGGGGTGCTGTATTGCGGTATATCAACATTGCTAATAATAATGAGTTTGATAGTTATGTAGGCCGGATGGGTTGAAATGACTTGTTCATACAGTGCACATTGATTGACGATCGTAAATAATCACTATAGATATGTACTAGTGTATAAAAATGGTGTGAATGATCCATCACGGTGTCAAGTACCTGTGTGTGGTTTCACCACGAGATTGCGCCGCATTGTTCATGTAGAAATGGTAACACATGACCAGTGTCTTTGGTTCTTCTGAAAACCAATGTAAAATTGCCCTTGCCAATTGAAGGTGAATTTATAAAATCAATAATAATAACAATCAGACTCAGTCATCACACGGTTGATAAAAACAAATCAACCTGTTATTTTACTTAGTAATAATAATAATCGCCCTACTTAGTTACTCTTGTTACCCCTAATGGAGCATAGGCTACCGACCAACCAACCAGTAAATGATTTCTTCTGGTTAGCGATTTATTTTTTTGAACGAGTTGGATTTCTACGAGACGAGGTTCTCTAGCCCTGTGCATGTCCTCCAACCTCCCTCCATCATCTCCGGGCTTGGAACTGGCAATAACCCCCCAAGAAGAGCTGCAAGCGGAGCTGGCAATAATAGTAATAATCATAATCGCCCTACTCAATATTATTTAGTTCGTTACCATTTGGCAGTGCGCATCCACGACTCCTGCAGCCCGCAGGATCCGAACCCAGGACCTTCGGTATTGTAGGCGAACGCCTAACCATCGGACCACTGAGCCGGTATCTAACGGTGTTAATGTCTAACTTGATCAATTCACGGAGTTGCGCAACCTCATACACAGTCTTCGGTAGTAGTGACAGGTTGAACTTCACTGGTCACGTCTTCCCACTAGAACTCGGAGAAGACTACTCACCAAGCTAGTCATCGTCACTAGTGAGCACAGGTAATTTGCATTACGGGGTTGTTGTGAAGATTTCCTAAGTTTTATTTGAAACCATGAATCGATCAATGTTAGATCACCATTAGAAACCTGGAAGCCGTTTCGTCCTGGTATGGGACTCCTCAGCAGTGCGCATCCACAATTTGCTCTCTAAGTTATCAAAAAAGTAATTTTATTCCGTTTCTTTATATGTATATATATTTTATTTCACCCATTTTCTTCAATATTTTAGATGATTAATTTTCTATTAGGTGAATCAGTATCTAAACTCACTAATAACAATCCTAATGATGATAACCAATACTTGAGTAATTCAACGCATCCATCAGCATTTCTACAAATTAAACCATCTTGTTTTATTGATGATCAAGTAAGAACGGTGCAAAATAGTCGTAATGTTTATATTGGTCAACATCAAGATTTATTCATGAATTATGATGAGCACGAAAGTGGTAATTTATCACAATCTCACTTATTGAACTATTCATTTCCATCGATTTTTTATGCGGATCGATTAAATGCCAGTCATGACCAGGCGATTGGTTTACGTCTATTAAATCTATCCTTTGGTACATCAATGGATGGATTTTATGAGAAGACAAAATTTATTGTATGGTAAGTGTATGTGTGTGTGTTGTGTTTAGAGGTGGTGGTTGTTGGTGTTGTTACTGTTGTGAATAGGTTTTGTTCATCTCGTCTATTGTTCAGTTGGATGCTGGCCCAGTAGTAGTGGTCCGATGGTTAGGCGTTCGCGCACAGTACCGAAGGTCCCGGGTTCGAATCCTGCGAGGAGCAGGAGTCGTGCATGCGCACTGCTGATAAGTCCCATACCAGCACGAAACGGCCTTCATCGAGTGCTTCCAGGTTTCTAATGGTGATCTAACAATGATTGATTGATTGATGATTTCAAATGTGTAAAAAACGCAAACCTCGAAAACTCTGCCCTAAAATATTGTTCACTTAGTTTGTTTAGTTTGTCACAGTCGGAAGAAGATGTCAGCTCCGCCTTGGTGTGTGTCTTTGACACTTGCCTACTGATCTTATCTAGTTGATGCTATGTCGCTGCTATTCAAAATCCTACCGAATGACCAAATTCAGATCGTCCAATACAACACCAAATACATAGTTCTATTTGGTGAAGACGCTGATAAAATGCAGAGTCTTCTGACTACCATAAGCAACAATGCGAGCATGTTCGGAATGAGGTTTTCCACCCCCGAAATGCAAAATGTTGCTTCAAGACTGAGTTGCATCGGCATCTGAATTAGTGATAGGGAGTGAAGTAGTCGTGCGTGTTGATCACGTCACTTATATGGGGAGTCTCATCAGTGCCGATGGCCTGGTGACTGACTAAATCTCAGCTCGGATACAGAAGGCTCGATA